ATGTAGTGGAAATAGAAATGTTTATTCGTTTTGCTAAGTACACGCAACAAGAAAAACTCGGAACTAAATAGCCTAAAATTTAGTTTTTGCAAAACTTTAACAATGATTATACTTTTGCCAAAAAGTCTACATAATTTTTCTTTTTCTTTCCACTTTTGCGAATTGTAAAGAACGTCAACGACGCTTTAAACGATAAAAGCGGCCGGTCGATTTAAGACTATCGATATGTTTAATTGTGCTACACGCTCAGACTATGCATGATGCCGCGTGGTCAAAAGCTTCTCGTTTTCTAGTTATTAATGCTCATCATTGTATTAACGCATTTTATATTATTAATAATTGCATCATTTTCATAGAGTACAATTCTTTAAGAAACAAATATAAAATTATCCGAACCTTGCATGATGGTCGTAAACCAACATGGCGATCATTAAATATACGACAGCTTTAATAACAAAATATATATTTATGTATACATATTTGTGTATTGAATTAAATGGTGAAAATTAATTATAATGTATTGGCAACAAACTCTTTTTTAACATTTCTTTTATTAATAGTTATTAGTATTCATTTATGACCGTTTATTGCGATTTCTTAGCCGATATTATTGCTAACCGGCAAATATAAGCAACATCGCATATATCGATATACGACCGATAGCAACACCACGCTCACGTCGAAAATCTCTTTTATTTTCACAATTTATTTTTTAGATTGGCTTTTGGCCAAATTGATTAAGGGAGTGTGTGTGTGTGTGTGTGTGAGTGTGTGTATTGACATGTATACGTGAACGATACATTAAACAAAAAGCAAGAATCAGATTATTCAATATGTGCAATTATAGTTTGCCGCGCCATACATATTAATATATACAAAAATTGTAATATTTTTTGTGCATTTTGTGAATTTTCCTTTGGCGCATTATTTGGCTAAATGAATATAAGAGGAACATAATACCGAAATTTGCCAACAGCGCCAGAAACGGCAAGACACAAAGCAACAAAAATATTGACAGCAATAGAAGACCTATCAGCAACGGCAGTGAAAATGAGAGAGGTGGTGAAACATGTAGAGCAATCAACGACGGTGTAAATAGTGGAATATAAGCAAAGTGCGACGACGTTATTTTTGTGTGTGTGCGCGTGTGCATATACATGCTGCTAACAATTATAAACAATAATAGGATAGTTTATGTCCTTTCACAAGCCCCGGCAGCACGCTTGTGTTAAATATTGATTTTGTTCCCTACGCGCCTCTTGCCAATTGCACGCTTGTGTATGTGAGTGACAAGGTGTCCAAGAAGCAATAATTGTGATATCGATACCGATAACGATACAGCAAAGTACAACACGCAACACAAATGCAAACAAACACAATTTAAGCGCGTTATCAAAAGCACAAAAGTAATATCAACTTAGTGGCTTAACAGCCGGCGCGTTGTTTTTGTTTTTGTTTTTCTTTGCTTTTCTTTTCTTTTTTACGTGATTGTTGGAAGCTTTTCCCTCTTTAATTTTTTTTTTTTTGTGCGGGACCTTTATGTTATGCTAACCCAACGCTAGGTTAAGCTACAAGAAAATATAAAAAATAAAAAAGTTTCGTTGACAACTCGACAGCAAGTTACCTGGGAGCCATTGTACATTTTGGTAAGAAGACAACTTCTTACCAATGATTTCGTTGGTGCAAATGAAATTCCATGCGCTATTGCTGCTGCTATCAAAGGTGTGGACATGTATTTGTTTCATGTTCAATCGCCAAGTGCGCGCTGTAAGTACCACAAAAAAAAATAAA